GAATAAGAACTGGTTTCGTGGATGGATCTTCTTTTAACATACCTACACAAAATTCGAAGTCAACACAATCAATAAATATACCAAAAAATTAAACCATAAACAAAAATGAATGTAATACATACTTATAATGGCTGCACAGATTACATCAGAATCCAGCTGTCTATGGTCCCGAGTAAGGCCTTGGTTTAGGCAGGTGTGTTTTTTACCCCACTTACTAACAACCCAACTATTTCCATTCTTGGGCAACATAGCCCGCACGTACCAGGGACAACCATCATTATGGTGTCGACACTTCATCACAAATCTATGGTCATCACTTTTTGCCACCACAGCAGTACGATGAGACTTCATACAATATAATTTGACAGCATGTTGCATTTCAGATTTAGTTCGAAACTCCTGGTACAAATATAATGGATCTCCTAAATGCCAGCCACCGTGGATGTCATCGTCGCCATACAATATCTCCGTCTCATCATTAGGGTGAGCCCAATTAATGAACGAATAGTGTGGGCTGTCGTTCCAAAATGGCTCAATCTCAGACCCTACGTCCAAATTTAAACTTATCCGTCAGTACGAAAGAAAACACAAATATATATATATATATATATATGCAAAATTAAAACTTTATATTACAATCTTACCACTGCTAGCAGGGTCAACACGGAGCGGTGGCATAACTTGGGAACTCAAGTTTCCTGAACTAGTATCAGCGTCAAAATTCCCCTCTACGTCCGTATCTGAGGTGTCACCCAGCGGAATAACACTCTCGGGTTCACCATCGTCTTCACTGTCCATATCCTCGTCATGCCCATCCTCATCCTCGTCTATTTCCCTCAGTGGTAACTGACTTAAGACAGGTGCAGGTGCAGATAAACCGACCACTCTGTCTTCTTGACTTTGACTTCTTCCATGCACAGGTGCAGATGAAGATTGACCACAGTCTATTTCAACATATATCTCAATAAAGTTTTGAAATTTTCGGTCCACAATTGCATCTATGACACAATCCACATCTTCATCGTCACATATATCATTACCAATGTAGAATATAGCATCCTTACCAACTGTAGACTCTACCCTAGCGATCATCCGTTGAACGCCATGGCTCCCGTGTAGCCCCAATTTTTTGTTAATCCTCCCCTTCAGCTCATTGTACGTAGTGCCCCGTTTGATTTTCAACATTTTCGTTTTTCCTTCAAATTGAACACCGTTGGGGCCTTCATAATGCTTTCCATCATAGTAAATCATGGTAACATACATGTTTGGACTTGAGCTCATCTTTCACACGAATTTTGGGGGTAGGAATCAGATTTTAGGGGTTAGGGTTCGGATTTGGGGGAAACAATTGAGAAATAAAGGAAAATGACAATGATTTCACAATTACTATGTCTTAGAGGTGGTGGGATGAAATGGAAGGGTGATTGGAAGGTTCCCAGCTGACAAACAAGAGAAAGAGACCAAGAGAGAAGTTTTGATTTCGAATATTTTGAAAATGAGCCCAAGGGGGGTCTGGATATAGGGTTTTTCGCGATCTTTAGTCGACTAAATAATGTGCTTAGTCGACTAAAAGTGCAAACAATTTAGTCGATTAAGGTGAGTTTTTAGTCGACTAAAATTCGCGTTTCATAATTTCTGAGTTTAGCCCATTTAGTCGATTACAAGTGCATCATAATCGACTAAATGAGGGCAGGATGGTGGATAGTTCTGGGGGAGAGGCAAATTGGTTATTAATTATTTAATTAGGGGCAAAAGGGTAAAACCCCCCCAAACAAAGCCTAAATGTTTTAACATTTAAACTTGTTGGGTTTTGACTTTTCCCAGTTTTCTTTTGTTACAAAGTGAAAAAAGAAGAATAAGATATAACTAAAATATACCAACTCTAATCAATATTCTTGTAACACCCTGCCTTATGGGAACATTTACATTAAAGGAAATTGCATAGCTAAACTGAACTATGCATATATTTATGTAAGTCATACTTACATCAAATCACACTGTTTAACAGTCATTACAAAAGAAAACAAAATGCATTGTCTACTACGCGCGCATAGTCACATCTTTATTGAATTGCTACCTTTGCGTGTAATTCCTGAAATAAAATCCCTAACAGAGATGATATGCGAAACCCAATAAGTTATAAAAACTAACAATCTTACTCTGTCATAGTTCAATATTATGTTGTGGTTAGGGGTGTTAACGGGTTGAGTCGGGCCGAGGTTTGGTCTTAAAAGGCTAAGCCTGTGTTTAAATGTGTCAGTCTGACCTAGCCTGTTACTTGTTATAAATATGATTATCGGCCTGTGGCCTGACTTATTTGCAAAAAATAAAAGCATAGTTTAGACTCTTAGCTTGTTAAAAAAAACAAGACAACAAAAATTTATCTAAACAAAATATACGATCAACTGCACTAAAAATTCCACAAAGATTCATAAATTCAATGTATATCCAAATAGCATAATATATAAAAAAATCATTCAAAAAGTCTATTTAACCAATAAAATGGGGTGAAATGGATTGAGGAGAGAGGGGAGCTATTATGAATAGTATCAAAAAATATAAAATATAAATAAAAAAGTTAGTATACTAAGCCTGCCTAAGAGGCTCTAAGACAGGACTTTTGAATTGGAGCATGAGGCCTTTTTATTAAACGAGCTTTTATACAAGTCCAAGCATGGTTTTAACAACTAATTTAGACATGTAAGCTCAAGACTTCACGAGCCGGGTCAAAGACTCCTAAAAGGCCCCTGCTTCGTTAACACCCCTAGTTGTGGTTTGCTGTTCTCATAGTAATTTCCCTGCTATATATATAATTCATTAAGAAAAGACATGTACATATATATATATATAGGTAAAATCATTTCTGCAACCGTTTTACATACAGCAACGACAGATGTATGGTTATGATTTTCCACATTTAATGCTTTCATCCTTTGTATGATTGTGATTCCCTCATTTAATGCTTGCGAGTATATATATGGCAAGTATTTGATTGCTGCACGTACAACAGCTGCATAAATATAAATTCCATATATATATATATATATATATATATATATATGCACATAGCAAAATCACTAGTCGTCTAAAGCTACTGTATAGGCTCTTAGGCCCTGTATAAGCTACTATATATGTATCCGCATATGGCAGCCGTGAAACTCGTATACATAACGGCTGTGTGTTTGCCCATTATGGGCCTGTATGTGTATTGAGTTCAAACACATGAGACGTCCTTCACAACTATAACTATAGCACCTGTGGTGTGTGTGTGTAACAACACTACTGTTGTATGTACAATTGCGATTCTCTCTACTCGACTTATCACGTTTTCACTGACAGTTTGGCACTGAATGGCAGCTAGTCCCTTCAATGTAGCTTATGGGTTTAAAGGTGAATGTGCCGGTAGGGTGTGTGACGAGATTAATGCTGACCAAGAGTGATCTCGTCAAGGTGTGTGACGGTACTCAGTGAAACATGTCAACTAGTTGGATGAGATTGTAGTTGTATCCGACGTGACACAATGTCTCATCTTTCACACTGACAAGACTATTGTTGTAGTTCTGACAGACGTGTTTCACTGCTCTACTCGTGCATATCATTTGAAATGTGCTTTGAATTGAAGAAACTTTTCCAAAATATTGATAGTACAATCATTTTGCCATATAGAGATCCCATACTAAATTATAAGCGTAATATTTATATTCCAAATTATTTAGTGATTTAGTTTCTCTTATACTCTTTGTTTATAAGGTGAGAGAATTCATATTTGATATTTGAATACACACTTGTGTTAAAGATTTGGTAGGAAGGTAATTGTCATTCTTATAATACTGGTAGACTCAACTCGTATTGATTGAGTAATCAATGAATCGGTAAATTTTATTTTTATAAAAAACCATTTTTCACGTGATTAATTATATTAGCTTTTGTCATACATATACTAACCTCTTTATTTATGTGTAATTGGTTGCAACATTAATACAAAATTAGATAGATCATTAACGAGAGATTTTGGAAAAATCATTCAACAGACGAAGAATCTCTTTTCAATATTCAATAAAATATTTACTCAAGAGGCCATTGTAACCCTGCAAATTGCAATACTCTTCCTTTCAGGTTGACTCCATTTCAAAATTAAAAATTGAAAACAAGATTGACGAGATATTTATCCAAAAATAAAATAAAATGCTATGCAATAATTCCAAATAAATATGTCATACTATACATACACAAGTATTTCTAATTTTTAATTAATCACATGGTAGTGTTATTCAATACCAGATATTTTTTTTCGAAAAAGTTGGGAATGAATGACCGACCAATCACAAGAAAAAACGACTCCGCAAAGATAATAAATTGTTTCGGTATATTTTTTCTTGTTATAATTGTATATTTCAAGAAGTATATAATTATAATATAATTTTTTTTCTTTTCACATTAGTTGATAATTTACGAAGAGAGAATTTTTTTTAATATTATACTTCCTAAAATATATAATTATAATCAATGATAAAAGAAAATTTTTTTTTACAGCAAATAAGACGTAGATTAAATAATAATTATGATATTTATCAAAAAATAAGTAAAAAAATAAAAATTATGAAATTCCAAAATGATTTTCAACTTTAACCGCAGGGAGTGATGGCGAAAAAGCGCGTTCCTTGGTGACAAATCCTGAAAAGTAAACGATAACGATTTTCCTGTACATTCATTGGTTCACTCCTTTAACGTTGGAGGTTACAACACACACCAACGACCAGTATATTCACCATTTAACATTTATTACAGCTACCCGTTGTTCATTTAACCAACCTCCCCCAATGCGCACTTTAGCACGTGGCCCTCTCATATGTGCTCATTCCCTTTCCCTCACAGGCTGTGTTTTACTAACGTGCGCAGTTGGCTCCTTCGTTTCTCTACTCGCGTTTTTTAACGAATTAAATAATAAGATACTGTTTATCAATAGTAACAGAATCGGGAGATTAAGAGCGTGGTGGAGAGAGGGAAAGAAAAAAAAAAAAATTAAAAGGAAAGAGAGAGAAAGCGAGATAGTGACAGACAGAGGGAAGAAAGAACGAGGGTCTGTGTTTTTTTGGGTACTTTTTGAAGTTGCAGGTTTTGGAGCATCGTGTCGGGGTGGTTTTCATTTTGGAGGGATTTTTTCACCTTATTTTTATTTTTTATTTTTTCTTTTGGTTTGATTATTTTATATAGGGAAATAATTATTATTTTAATATTATAATTTATTTTAAATTGTTATTACTTTCCTGAGTTATAGACAGAGAGAGAAGATTGAAGGTGTCTGTGTGAGATCCCTGTAGGGTGTATATATATATAAAACACACACGCATATATTTGTGTATATATATGCACTGTTGCTTTGTAACAACAACATATTCACAAAGCCTTTTTTCTTTGAGAGAGAACCTGAAATTTTGGTGTAGTAGATCACGAATCATCAGGAACTGCAATGGGTAGGTTTTTTTTTTTTTTTTTTTTCTCTTTTTGTTTTTGCTTTCTCGTGTTCTGCTCTTGGATTTCTGTTTCTTGGTATGGGCATTCTGAAATTATGATTTTTTATTTTGTTTTTGTCTGTTGCCTTCTGGGTTTTGTGAATCTCTGTTTGTTGTTTGCTTTTGGGGTGTGAGGGGGGGTTGCTGGGGTGGGTAAATTGGGATGCAAGGTTTGTGTTGTGTCCATAATTGGGTGGCAAGATACAATCCTTGGTTTTCTTCCTTTGATTGTTTTTGGTGTGAAATTTTTAGTCTTCCTTTTTCAAGACTCAATTGGTTTAAGCCTTCTGATTTGGTGTTTGTTTCCTTGCTTCTTCTTCACTCAGTTTTTCATCTCTCTCTCTCTATTTCTTTCTCTCTACCTGTGCCTGTGGCCCTTACTATCTGGCTCTCCCTCCCTGTGCTGAGATAGGAGTTAGATATTTGGTTTCATTGGCCTAATGGGTTCTGTTCTGTGATTCCTTCTTTTTAGCATATTAACAGCTAAGCATACAGCACGAGGCTTATTCGTACCTAACCACTTTTTTGGGGTTCTGGCTTTCTTCATTACTCGGTTATTCTTGTGTTTATTGATCTCTTTACGATTGGCCACTCTCTTTTACCCACCTCACCCTGTCCCCAGCCCTAATATTCTTATCTCTCTCTCACTGTGGTGTTTTATATTGCAAGAACTTCCCAAAGAGGGTTTCCCCATCATTATCCTGTATATATATATTTATTGAGTTCCACTAGCTTTTGCTTCTCATTGGCTATGGGGGTTCTGTGTCCATGTTCTGTCCTCTGATTGTTTTTTCTTTCTCTCTCTCTCTATAGCTTTTATTTCGGAGGTCAACATGAGCTTCTCTCACTACATGGATGATGAATATGAGAAACTCTTTCGAAGAATGAACCCTCCCAGGTACCAATTTTTCCTTCCCATTTGATGAAAGGAAGCTTTTTTTTTTTTATTTTAAAAAAAGAAAAAGAAAGAAAGTAAGTTTGAACGATTCTGTCCTCACATCTTTGTCCATTTGTTGTCTTGTCTTGTCAGGGTTGTAATCGATAATGAAGCCTGCAAGAATGCCACTGTTATACGGGTATGCCTAGTTCTTATTATTTTTTGTTGTTTCTTCTTCTCCTCCTCTTTGTGGACTGCAATTCATGCTTCTATAATTGCAAATTTTTTCCCTATCTTGATGACAGTCCTTTTTTGGTGGGGTTAACGATAGTCAATTTATTTTTGCAGGTTGATAGTGCAAATAAGCATGGAATACTTCTTGAAGTTGTACAAATCCTCACTGATCTAAATCTCATCATAACTAAGGCTTACATATCTTCGGATGGTGGATGGTTCATGGATGGTAATAATTTTCTGTTAACATGATATAATTCCTATTATATTTTCTCTTATAATATACACTGATAGTCATAATATTTGGGGAAAATGTTTTGAATTCTTTATTCTTGTCTGCCAGTTTTTAATGTCACTGACCAAGATGGAAACAAGGTTACAGATGAAGCAATTTTGGATTACATTCGAAAGGTGTGTCTCATTTGGTGTTCTTTAACATCTTCTCTGCATTAATGTACAGCCACTAACTATGTATTTGATGCCATTTGTATTTTAGTCTCTTGGTCCCGAATCTTGTATTACATCTCCTATGAGATCTGTTGGGGTCAAGCAAACAATGGACAACACTGCAATAGAGCTTATGGGAAGTGATAGGCCAGGATTGCTTTCGGAAGTGAGTGCTGTTCTAGCCAACCTCAAGTGCAATATAGTGAATGCAGAGGTATGGACTCACAACACCCGTGCAGCAGCTGTAATGCAGGTAAATGATGAAGAGACTGGGTCTGCAATAACTGACCCGCAAAGGCTCTCTCTAATTAAGGAGCTTCTATGCAATGTGCTTGGTGGTGGCAACAAGAAGAGGGGAGCTAAGACTGTTGTCACTGATGAAGCCACTCATACTGAGAGAAGGCTTCACCAGATGATGTTTGCTGATAGGGATTATGAAAGAGTTGATGATGATGACTTTGATGAGAAGCAAAGACCAAATGTGAATGTTGTGAATTGGTCTGACAAAGATTACTCTGTAGTTACTATCCAATCTAAGGATAGGCCAAAGCTTCTCTTCGACACGGTTTGTACTTTGACAGACATGCAGTATGTGGTTTTTCACGCAAATATCGATGCTGAGGGGCCACAAGCATATCAGGTATATAACATTTACCACTTTGTTCTGCACAAATACACATGGACACAGACGTGGAATTCCTTTTGTTTCTTGGAGTGAGCTTTATGATCTGCTGGTCTTTTAAGGGCATTGGCTAAATATTTTATGTTTGTATATGTAGGAATATTACATCAAGCATATAGATGGGTCCCCAGTAAAATCAGATGCAGAAAGACAACGAGTGATACAATGTCTTGAAGCTGCAATTGAGAGAAGAGTTTCTGAGGTGAGGGACTTGATGTAACTGAATTTGTGATTTCCTGCTTTAGTTGTGCTCAGAAACTTGTGTCTGGAACTCTCATGCAGTCATGCTTTTCATTGTTATGGTTGTATATTATTAAGCATTAATTTTCTATGCATTGATTTATTCTTAATCTTCACTGAAACTTTAGGCTGATCATGACCCTTTTGTATTTTTTATATCATGTAAATAATATGTCTAACTGTGATAGTTGTCCAAGATTAGTTGAATTCCAGCTGGTGGACTTTGACTGCAATTGTCATGTCATGTCCCATGCCAGTTCATTTTTCTTATTAAGGGGCGAAATAGACTTATTCCACTCGATTTCGTTTTCGTTTGGTAAACAGTTAGTCTACATTGAAGAGGAGCCACAATTTTATTGGCTTGACAAAACCTAAACAATTTTTTAGTAAATAGTAACCTTTTCTTGTATCTGATTGTATTTTATATCAGTGGTTATTGTCCTTTGCTCTTAAAATTCTGCTGAATTTTTATTCTTAGTCAAGAAATCTTCTGCACCTTAAATAGTCTTTTCTTATTTATTTTTATACAATTGCCAGTTAGGTATTTTTGGTTTATTTCTCCATCAACCATCCCTTTGGTTAGTATCCTATTGTTTTATATGACTAATAATTCGTTTTTGTTTCTTGTTGATTCAGGGTTTGAAACTTGAACTCTGCACCACCGACAGAGTGGGACTACTATCTGATGTCACACGAATCTTCAGAGAGAACAGCCTCACAGTTACCAGGGCAGAAGTGACAACCAAAGGAGGCAAAGCTGTTAACACCTTCTATGTTCGTGGAGCTTCTGGTTGCCTTGTTGATTCCAAGACCATAGAATCCATTCGGCAAGCAATTGGCAACACCATACTTAAAGTAAAGGGTAGCCCTGAAGAGTTAAAAAATGTTCCACAGGATTCTCCTACCAGATCCATCTTTAGTGGTCTTTTCAAGTCCAGATCATTTGTGAACTTTGGCTTGGTTAAGTCTTATTCTTGAGAAAGCCATTATTATTATCATACGCTTTCCTTTTATTGATTGTACAGTAAATAGAGCTGGAGGTGCAAAAAGCTTACTAGAGAGGATGTGTGACTTTTAGTTTAGGGAGTAGGAACACTAGCATATCTAAAAAGCTTGAACCGTAGGCAAAGTTGCTTGTAAATTCTCAATCCTTCTTGCTTTGGCTTAGATTGTCACTATGGATCCATTCACACTAGATGGAGTGATGAAAGCAAAGAGAACCTTGAAACAATTAGTTTCAAGCGACATCATTTGTATATACTCATTTAATTTTCTAGAAATAGTAATTGTTTTCTCATCTTCCTTGTCATTTTACTTTTCTTGAGCAGTTCTGCTTTTTTTTGGTGTTTCTTGCATTTTTTTTTTTTTACAAAATGGTTGACGTGGTAACATCCTAATCTTCAGTTTTTCAACTCAAATGTAATGGTATCAATTCATTCACGATTCTGTCATAAATAATTACGTATATAATAATTTTTTAAAACTACATACATACATATATATATATATATATATATATATATATATATATATATAAGATAAGACCACGACTCACGAGGGACTTCCACATCATTGGATGTGGTGGACCTAATCTTGCCATAATCTCTTTGTGCAAGTTTTGAAAAATAATTGTTTAAATATCATCATCCTTTATACCTTTTGGTCTTGTTTGCTGTGCAAGATTAGGTTTGATGGTAATCTTCGGAATGATATCTTACAATTTGAACTAAAAAGATTCTTGAAAATGGACATGACATGGGAAATTGTAGGGAAAGTCAGAATTGAGAAAATATTTGAAATTTGACTACACTACCAAATGCCGTCTACCCTAAAGGAATATGTAAGTTTTAGAGGAAAAATCAGTTATAATTATTTATTAAAAATTAACAAAATTAAATTTTAATAATTTCATTATTTATTATATACATGTAATTAACATATAAATTCCAATGCACAAGCAAGATAGAGCGAGGAAGATATTAGGATGGACCGTCGCGGCCTTTAATTTTATTATGGGTATCATTTATATTATTTTTTATCATATAAGTAATAATCGTCTTTTTCAAATTCATATAAATCTTTACTTATGAGCTTCATATCTGTTTTTTGGCATAAAAATAAATATAATTTATAAGAAATATTACACTTGCAATTTTGCCTCCTTTATTCTCTTATGTAAGTTGAATGGGTGTTTCCTACCCTCCCTCCATTATTAACATGAGAAATTTCCATGCCTTGTCAAGGACCAAGCTACATCTTGGTTTCATGTCCTATTGGACAGGGTAACTTGGTGGCGGCTAACTTTATGCACAGTGTGGGGCACAAAAGTTAAAATTTATACCAAATTTAAATGCCAATTTATTACCATCGCTGTCTGATTGAGACATACACTATAAGGTTGGGTTTGGCTTGCCAAAAATTGCGTATCTTTTGTGACGTTGAACACGTCGCTCATGTCTCCTCCTTCTATTAACTTTGAAATCAATAATGTAATGGTCAATCCAATTAGGGAGGATAGCTCCCAGCAGAGAGGATTACGAATCTATTTAGTGCTTGTTTGGATCCTCTTATTTTTAAGCTAGAAGCTACTTATAAGCATAAGCTAGGCCAAACAGGTTTTGGAAAAAGCTCTTATAACGAAAAGCTCTTTTTTTTATAATGAAGAAAAAACTGAAAATTAAAAGCTCCTAGGAGGAGCTTTTTTTTAAGCTCTTATCTGTTTTTCTTGAATTGTGTGCTCTTTTTTTAAATGAAGAGTGATAAAGATAGAAAAAGAGACAATTTTCTTGAAATATGTGTAATTTTTAAGCTAAATTTTTTTTGTAATTTCCAAACAGCTTTTAATTTCTTTTTTTAAGCTCTTTATTTTCGTTTTATCTTATAAGTAGCTTCTAGCTTAAAAATAAGAGGATGCAAACAGGCTCTTAATCAATAAACTTTCTGCTTCTTTAATAAACTAGTTTTTATCATCCAAGACCTTTCCCACTATGTTGCTTGCTCCATTTGAAATGGTCCACGATGAAACACTTCTTCTCCAATCCATACCAATTTGAACATTCCCTTTTGACCAAAATAGTGTAGAGTGGTTCGACCTTTCAAAAGAAAGAAGGGAAAAGGCCCAATGAAAAATGTGTCCTAAAGGAAGAAAAAGCTAATGAAATGCGTGTTCCTTTTTTTTTTTTTTTTTTTTTTTTTTTTTCATTTTTTAAGCTCACAATCCCAATAATTTTATAAATATCCTTTGCCACCCTGATTGGCACATCCTTATCGGTAAGTCTGTAACAGCTACATGGGGTTTCGCCACGTGGATTATTCTACCATTAGAGTACTGCCCCTTTCGAGAAGGAAAGGTATCCAAGATTGATAAGCTTCAAATAAAGTAGCCGCCACATATAATGTCATTTTTATGATAATTAATTTGTCCATATTTTAATTTATTATTATGAAATATTCTCTCTCGTTTCAAACCAATAATATTTCGATTGGATGATCACCAGTGAATCAGTCCCCTAGCTTGGAATTAACATAGAATGATAATTCTTTGTAATTCAGTCTAATTATTAACTTAGTTAATGTTTCCACACCAAAAAAAAAAAAAAACTTAGTTAATGTACTAATTTGACACAATTTAAATTTCTTATGAATAAATATATTGTAAGGGGTGATGACTTGTGAATTTTGCGCGCATAGAATTCAACTATCTTTTTAGTAATGTATATACTTGTTCTGGATTGGTATATTGAGCTCATTCAAAAGCCTAATTTATCACCTCTGCTAAAGGATAATGGTCCTTCTTTACATTGGATTTCCCCCACTTATCTTGGCTCACCCTCTAACGCTAAGGGAATCTTCCTCTCCTTTAAATACGAGCACATTTTATGTGCATTGGAGTAAGTACTCTTTTATGAAAAGGGCAAAAAGAAAAAGAAATATGGAAAGAAATAAACATAAAAGTTTGAGTAATATAAATGGATTACCTTTTATCATGTTTGGTAAAAGATGTACCGAGTATTCGTACTTCTGTAATACTAAAATCATTTTTTATGAATACCTAATTTCTTCATTAAGTTCATTGAGAAGTCATTATCATCACTACTCTCACTTTTATGTTATTACTGTGTTGAATCACAGTCTCACTCAGCCTATGAGTGCCCTTGCATCTTTGTCTAATTCTAATATCATTGTTATATTGAGGTAGTACTTCACCCGAAAAAGTTCAATATTATTTTGAAGTATTTTTATTTCTTAAAATATTTCATGCATTAAATTTTATATCATCTCATCAGTTACTTATTGGTTAAATGATTGAATGACTCACTGTCAAAGGCATCTCCCAAATCAATGACTGGTTTGAGTTTTATAAGTAGGTTTCAAATCATTATAGATTCAATTGTCATCATTTCCACTTATTCCCCATATTGGTAGCAGTGTATAAGACACTCATCATATACTAACCATATAAATTAATATTTGATTGTTAATTAATTACATGCATAATATTTAGTTGACAGATACTTGTTACTTTTTTTCTAGATACATGACAGATGAGAGTATACTTTTAAGTAAATTTCAGAAGAAGTCTATGCAATTTATTGGGTAATATAAATTCAATGGTTCATTTGCTCTGATAAGTTGAATACCAGGAGGCTAGGGAAAATGATACCTCTTTCCATGCTCTCAACCAAAATTTGTACTAGTATCAATTAAAAAGGAACAATCAAAAGTTTTAGTTTGATAAAATTTTTATATCAATGTCTTCATGAATAGTCATTAGGAGTTTAATTTTTTTAGCACACTCTTATCTACTTTTGGGCTATCTAAAGAGGCTTCCAAGTCCAGCAAATGGTTTACAGAGCCCGTTTGTGGCTGCATCAGCTAGTTTTCTTGATTTATTCTCAACTATTCATCCAAGATGTTAAGCTTATTTTATTTTAATATAAGTAGTGCATGCAACTTGCAAGTCAAAAAAGACGAGGAATAGACAAACCTTCACCTAAGTTATTGATCTTTCACTGTTTTCACTCTTAAACTGGTCAGCAATCAATGTTCCTGACAAGTCTGAGCACAGGAACATGCACAATAAATAAATACAAAATATAAAATGATAAATCCTAGTAAGATATCAATTTAAGTTGAATTGAATAAGCTTGGTTGGCATGACAATCATAACCAAATCATAATCTCAAATTTTAAGAGAGAATACAGTAATCTCTGACAGTACAAAATTATCTTGCGGTGGCTGGTTTACTTGACAATGGCCATAACTTTAGCTGCCAAATGTTATTAATAATAGAGCAATCACGTTACTAACTTTGTAAAAGAAAGTGGGAGGAAAACAATGCATTAAGAACTTACTAAGAGTGCCATGTGCTACTCTGAGTGTCACTGTCACTGAAACTTAGGTCATTTAAAAAATTGTGCATTGATTCTTTCCTCACATGAATCCGAAATGGGCTAATGGTAGTTACTTACAGAGACAGCAAACCCCATAACTTTCCCTCACATGGAAGGGCACCCTCTAATTAAGAACAATGCATAGTAGATTTTATAATATCATTTTAGTCATCATAATAGATGTATTTTCATGTGGTTTGAAAAATACATATGAGGTGTCAATTAGGTATTGGCCAACCAAGAAGTCCACATGGATTTGACAATTTTTAAGGGCCAATTACACAACACATACTGAAGGCCCTTAGAACTTAGTGAAGGGTATTATAATCATTCAATGCAACTTAATTCACTGGAAATATTCAATTTTTGCTCTATTTTCAATTTACATACTGTATTATTGGTCTGTGTGTGTGAAAGTTATAGCTAAGTACATTAAGAGATCCAAAAAAAGGAAGAGCTGAGAAGCAACAATGAAGGATTCTGGAGTTGAGTTTCCTGGTTTCCAGGTTTACAATCACAGGGATGAGTTTGTATTTAGAAGTTCCATGAGTCGGCTACAAAAGCAAGCTCCTTGTCCACTAAAGATAAAGACTACTATGATATCATCTGCTTGTAGTGGAGCACAGAACTCAATGGGGGCTGGTTCAACTTCATCTTCATTAAATTCCTTCTTCACCAGTAAAGATCCAATACCTTTACTTTCTCCTCTAGTGGTGCTTGAATCCACCTCCATCAGAGAAGAAAATACTGCAAAACCCCATTGATGTTGCATTTGTTTGTTCTATTGTTTTCTGATTTGGGATCTTTGATCTTATAAATTTCTGTACCATAAGTCCTAATGTAAATTGACTAAATTGTTTT